GTGAGGTCAAAAGTGCGGCAGGCAGGAAGGTCAGCTGCAATGTGAATGACATTAGGTTCCTCAGCTTGTTTCACAGGCTGTGCTGGTACAGTTCTGCGGGCCTTGTCGGCTTCATGCTGCACAAGGGTCTCAAGTAGGGTACGAGCTTGCCAGAGTGGCCAGTCATTTGCTTCTGCTCTGGTTTGCTCTAGAAGAGTTGGGCCAATGCCAGGATCAGCAAAAGCGAGTGCCCGACGAGGCTGACCTCTGCACGGTGTGGGAAGGGGTCGACCACCTGACACCTCAAAGCCTACCCTATCTCCAGCAGGCTCACACGAATGGCAAAGCTGCATGGCCCTTGCCTGTGGAATCCAGCTCACACATGTGAAGACAACTAAACTCCAAAGCAGAAGCCTGCATGTCTTGGCTACAGCACTCTGTGCCCTGCTGCCAGTAGAACAGTGCCCACGAGGCGAACGAGTTCGTACCGGGTCTGGAGTGCGAAAGCCGAATGGTGCTCTCCCTGCACCATGTGGATGCCTGTGTTGATGCTCAACCTGTCTTGCCCGGTCTCCTTGGTCATAGGGATCCCAGCCCTGTCCGTCATCTTCTGAGTCGCTGAGATCCTCAGCTTCAGGCGGATCATTGGGGACGAGGTGGACGGTAAGGACTTGCCCCGGCCAAACCCGAATCCAGGTATTATCCCATGTGTGCTCAGCAGCTCCCCCACTGACCCGCAGGCCAAATCCGGCCGGCACTTCGTCAAGAAACTCTTGTGCGACAGTAGCAGCCTGGACGCGCCCACCATACACAAAAGTCCAAGTCATGCCGCGGAGAAGAGGGCGGGCATCAACAATGCAAATCGTGGGGCTGGGCCTCCGTCGGCCAGGGGGAATAGGAGTGCGGTCGATTCTGTCTGTGGCAACAACAACTCCTCTGCATTGGTGTCCAAGGAACTCGTAATCAGCTATCCCCGGCATGCTTGACTGAATGGCAAGTCTAGTGGGATCAGCAAGCAGTAATCCTGCTACTTCAACACGAAATGAATCCCGTGTGGTGTTGCTTGCATCAAGCCTGGCTGGCATCGCATCAGTCAACACAAATATCGACCGGAGGAAATTCCCATCTGGAAGGACAGGATCAGCAACCCAGTGCTCTGTACGGAGAAGCATGAGTGGAAGCGAGACTCCCGGTCGGAACATTCTGGCAAGAGGCACAATGGAAATGAGCAATCCTGGTGTGAGGGAGACAAGCTGGGAGGGTCCTAAAGCAACCCAGGAAGATCCAAAGTGCACAGCATAGTCAGCTGAGGCTGGGAACCCAGCTGCTAGCAAAAGTGACTCCCTGTTCATGCGTGTGGGCAGCCACCGACTGAATATCCGACCATCAACTTCCCTTGTATCGATGCAGACAACAGTCATATTGGCAAGGCCGTGTGGCAAGGCAAGGAAAGTGCCGAAGTCATCAGATGGCTGCGGGGTGACTGGCACAAAACTGTCATATAGTGTGTCCCTGTTGTCATCCCGGGCTTCTCGGATGGCAGCGACAGCTTGCGGGACATCACTCGGAACAGGGAGGCGGACCGCAATGTGTTCCTTGCTGAGCTCTGGACTGAGCAGGAGGAAGTGCCATTCACGGAAAATTCCAGGCACCGGCTGTGCAACTTCTGGGCGATCGACTTGAAGGTCAGGAGCGTCTCTCTGAGCTAGTCTTCGCGGGGTCCTCGGCATCTGGTCAGCATGGGCTGGCCGTGCAGTGGGATCACCGGTCACCCGGCCTCTTTGGAAGGTCTCGTCATTCCCTTCGTGCTGCCGGGGGGAAGGGCATCTTCTCTTATTTTGAAGGAAGCCAATGACAATGGCAGCACAGCAAATCAAGAAGACAACGAGGGATCTGCCATTCCCTGCCGAGAGGAGCCCACAAGCTTTCTGACCGCAAGCACGGATCACAGACCGCTGCAGCTGAGCACAAGGACAAGCAAGAGCAGAGGTGTCCGGACAGGTGCCACAGGTAATGGCGGTTTCACATAAGTCCCCATCCTTCCACATGCATGCTTGTCCAGCTACTGGAACCCCAGTTAGAGTGAGACCTCCTAGCAGGCGAGCGGCAGTGGCATTGGTGTGCCCTCGACAAGATGGCCTGCCACGCTTGCGATTGCGAGGCGGTGGCGGCGGAGGCGTAGAGGAGGAAACATCTGAATCATCAGTCTCCTCGCTATCACCATCCTCGTCAAAACTGTCATCTGCACCATGTCCGTCCCCGTTGGACATATCAGAGCAGTCATCATCTGCACGAGCATGTGCTTGACCGACAGGCACAGACCAAACCGTGACTGTTGCGCCTGAGTCAGTCATTGCAAACCCGTCAGTGGCCCGTGCATCATGAACAAGTTCGCAACCTGGCGATGCTTTCACTCCTAGGCTGGCAAGAACAGTCTTGACGTGTCGGATGCCGCCAACCTGGTAGTGATGGATGGGTTTGCCCCCGTTTGGACGAAGATCGAAGAAGCAAACATTGTCTGCACGAGGCAGCTCGCCTTCAGCAAGAGGGCCCTGTGGCCGGATGTCAAGGATGCAAGCTAGTCCTTTGCAGACATTACCATGAAGCATGACATTTTCGAGGAAAGGCGGCTGTGCAACCTTAAGTAGAGAACGGTCATGCATCAGTCCGACTGTGTTGGCTGCGACCTCTTCAGGAGGCTGTCCTGTGTATTGCCTCCTATTAACAAAAAACCGCTTATCCTCATGAAGCAGGCAGATCCCAGGCTTGAGAAGAGGTCGAGGAAATTGGTCCGGAGCACACCACGACTCGCGTTCCTCAAGAACCTGACCATATGCTTTCCGGCGAGGTGGTCTTTCTCCTGGTCTTACAGCCCATATGAGGTCTCCAATTGTGAGGTGGAGAGGCCGTCCTGCAACCTGTGGGTCCTGACAGTCACCAACGAGGATGTCAAAGTCATTGGTCGTGTCAACCAAAGTACTAATGTAGTCTCTAAGGTCACGGTCACTGACATTATTGGGTAGGGTGCAGGCAAAGCGGTTACCTTCAAGTCCATGGAGGTCAAGCACAACAGTGACGAGTCCAGTAGATTCAAGGTGTGCTGCTTGTGCAACAAATGTGGCGTACCCGTCAAATGGTTGTGGGCGGCACGGCGCAACGACAGTGAAGATCGGATGAAAGCGATGTCCAGCTGCCTCTTGAAGGGTCGAAGCAGGCCGAGGTGCACCCTCTGGACCAAAGGGGTCGGCACCCATGGCACGATCCGGGTGATTCGTAGTCTTGGGTGGCTCCCCGGACTGGGATGTTGCTTGGAGTGCCAGTTTGAGGAAGCCATCCTGCAACTGCTCGTCCTTTTCCCCCCTGATCAGGGCATCCCAGGCAGCTTCGTCTTCGACCTCCATGGTAGTTGTCTGCTCGACTTGTCCATAGTTGACAATGTCCTTGACCTTCTGTGCAGCCTGTTGCCCTTGCTCGGCTGCCTCTTCCGCTTCCTTGGCAATTCTCTGAAGGTCTGCTTCGAAGATTCTGCGTTGTTTGGCGAACTTCTGCTTCATTTGCTGTTCGAAAGCCGTCCAGAGTTTGGATCGCCGCTCTTGCTCTTCGTTCAGCTTTCTCAATTTCGTGTCCGCTCTCTGGGCCTGGGTGAGGTACTTCTGGATCTCGCGCATAGCCGGCGGGGCATTCGAAGGGCCCGCCTTGTTGACAAAGAGGCTCAAACATGGTTGGGGTTGTTCGCGTTCTTGTGGTAGCTGAACTGAATCGTAGCGCTCCTGGTTCCCACCCTTGGGAGAACCCCAGGAGCCACGCCAGTAGTCCCAACCTTTGCCACCTTTGTGCTTGGTGTTTTGGGCGCCTTGATTGGCCCAGCTCTCTTCGGCATGTCCTCTCTTCCATGGCGGATTTCTTCGTCCACCACTCATCAACTCGCGATACTGAGGTCGCGAGTGGTGTGCAGCCAGGAAGGCTGTGTCTCTGTTGCTGCCTGGAAGCCCCTGCGCTCGGGCTTTCCAGATGCGTTTCCGTGCCTGTGCACGGCGATGCCGTAACCTTCGGTGCCACGTGGGAGAAGGTATGGCAAAGATCACGTGCCACTGTGGGCACTCGGGGTAATCAGCAATGCCCGGGGCCTGTCCCCTAAAGCTCGATCCGAAACCCTCAATATATGTATATATATATATATATATGTATACACACATGTGTGTATATTCGCATGTCTATGTATGTATGTGTAGATGTATATGTAGAGACACATGTACACACGCAACACACACACACATGGTCGGTTACACATGTCTCACGGTATCTTTATCTCGACTGACATAGATTGGGACATATATATATATATACACATTCGCATGCAGATGTGTATCTGCATGCACACATCCCCACACCTCAATCTTTTCAACTTAACCCCTGAGCCTCACTCAATCAAGAATCCCGCAGCAGCAAGAACAGAAGAATCCTCAACCCAACTACTCGAAGGGGCGAGATTGTACATCATAGCGAAGCAGAGCTACTCACGGGATTAAGGGCCTCAGTGAAGTAGCGGTAGGTTGATAGGGGGTTGACGTACGCAGATTGGGGTGAATCGTCTCAAGGGTAAGTCCCCGGATCCTCGAAGTTATGTTTTATTATAGGGTTGCGGCAACGCACCGCGTGTCTTAAGTGCGCTTGAGTTGCTTAAGGTTCGGGATTTACTCGTTCATGATGGCACCTTCCGGGGACGTAGTGTTCAAGTGATGCATCGCATGTGTGTGTGTGTGTGTGTGTGCGTGTGTGTGTCTGCGTGTGTGTGTGTGTTCGCGTGTGCGCCCTACTGCTGTCCTGCCCTAAACTGCGTGCAAGCTTTAGGCCGCAAGCTTAGTAAATTGGGAAAGTTTGCTTAAACTAGAACCTAAACCCAAAGCCGCAACCCTAAATCCTCAAAATCGACGGCGTAATTCAGCCCCAAATCCTTTAAGCCCTAAGCGCTAAATCCTATAACACCTAAACCCTACAAGCCCTAAGCCCAAAAGCAAAAGGCAGAGAATGCTGCCGTGAAGCCTCAGAGCTTAAGCTTCGAGGCCCGAGCTACTAGGTTCTGGGCCTTCCAGGGCGTTTAAATGGTCGGTTTAGGTTTGGGGGGCAAAAAGTTTACGCTCTTTACAGGCTGGTATACATTTCTCAGTTTCTGTGTTTTCCTTAATGGCCTTAAGCTTTGGAGAGGGTTGTTTGTTGTTTGTGTGAGTGTGTCCTAAGGCTTTCGGAGGCTTTTTATACGATGTTTTGATTTGGAGTTAGCATGTTGTTGAACACGGTTTTAGACACGTTCAATAAGGGTTTAGAGCTTTTGGAGCTTGCTGTTGACAAGTTGAGGGTTCGGTTTAGGGTGGAGCATTTGGAGTCACCGTGTCGGCTGTACGGGCCGAAGGCTTTGAACTTTCTTAGAGGCGTTTCGAGCCTATTTCGGACTGCGAGAGGGATTTCTCGAGCCTGGGATCTGATTGTAGCTTAGGGTTTGGGGTTTAGGGTTTAGGGGTTTAGGGGTTAGGGTTTGGGGTAATTATAGGGTTTAGGGCTCAGAACGAAGGACTCCCTGGTTTCACGGTCCCAACGCCAGACTTCGAAGCCGAGCAAGTTCACAAATGATGGTATGTGGTACCATTACAGAGACCCCTTGTCATAGAACCCTGATATGATAAACCCACCTAAAACCCAAAGCTCTAAAGATCCATCTGGTACATTTCCGAAAGGATGCCGCGGCCTTGCCGTCGAGCGCTCTGACGGCGATGCTCCTGTGTGAGAGGCAGATCTTCGGATAGTATGCCCGGTTGAATTCCAAACTCCATAGTCGCAGTTGCAAGAAAGAAGAGGTCACTCTAAGGAAGATCCTGTATTCAGGGTACATCAGGGTACCGTCTTGTCTTGAAATTTTGGAAGCCTGACTCCTTAGACCCTGCGCAGTACATCTTAGGGTTCAGTGTTCAGCAGCTCATCCCGACGATGTGTTTACTTGTGTCTTGCCCGCAGTAACTGATAATCGGAACAGATTGGACTAGTATTCCTGAGGGTTCATGATGACGAAGAACGATAAGTATTGTTATGATTTATGGTCATGTTTCTTATTAGCAGTCTGTTTTTTTGTATTTTTTATACGGATACACACACCCCCAGGCGCCATTCTCAGAATCAAGGCCCCTGCCTGCATTAGCCCCCTGCGCTTTGGCTCTCTCTGATCGAGGTACGTCCGCAAGGGCGACCGTGTGCTGGTGCTTGGTGGAGGGGGTGGCGTCGGCTGCCATGTGCTGCAGCTCCTGTTCCTGGGACTTCGAGACTTGTGGAAGCCCGAAAGCCTTAAAGCCACAACGCTTTCACCGGCCTTCACCATAAACTCGCAAACCGGTACTAAACCCAGCGGTTCAGCTTAAGTCGAAGTTCGAGGTCTCGGATGGGTTCTTCACGGTTTTGCTGCTTTCGAGTTAGCGACTGTATTGGGCAAGGTTCAGGTTTGGGCGTCACAGGTGGGACTAGATTGACTAGATTGAAGCCTCTCTGAGGGCCGACAGTTTTTGGAAGCACGCAATGCCAATACGAACAAGAGCTATGTCCAAAAGACACCAAGGTTCATGTTGTGTACACGTCTAAACCCCAGAGGCGGTTGCTCTCACACTCCTTTCGTGGTAGTTCTGACCGCCATAAGCCTGAATCTTTTCACCAGAACGATGCAGAGGAAAGCGCATGGAGCAAGCTACGTGGCTGCCACTTGTACAGACAAGGAGCCTGTGCACAAGCTGTTGGGCTAAGTGCTGATACAGGGGTGGGCCCGTGATAACGAATGTGATGTGTAGTTTTAGGACAATACCCAAGCCCTATTCCAATTGTTCAGGCCGATATTCAGGAATAGTATGACCGGCTTAAGATCAAGGGCCCGGATCCCGAGGATTCGCGACCCTAAACCACACGCAGAGAGCAAGAGGGTTCGACGGAGGTTGGCTTTGGGCCTCAGGCCAACCAAGTTCTGTCGCCTGAGCGAAACCTTGTTATGATCTCAAGCAAAGCCATGGTATAATCCCTCATATGGCCATGATGCCCCGGCTAGCTTCATGACATTCCATCCCATGTCTAGTAATGAACTCCGTTGAAAGCTCTCCGCATATCAGTCTGAGTTTCGGCTCCAACCAATTTTCAAGCCCGGGCCTTGCAGCTTCGCATGCTCAGGTTAGCGCCTAGAGTCTAGAGACCTTGCAACCTGTGCTACTCATACGCCCTCAAGCCTTGCAAGCCCTCAGCGAATCGCTTAACTCTTCAATTCAAGCCTACAAGTGAATGCAAGACAGGACCTGCTCCGCTCCTTGGGTGTTGACAGAGCCGTCGATCGGACAGAGGACACCGTTGGAGTCAACGTAGGAGCCTACCAGGTTCCCCAGTACCTCGTAGATTGTGCCTAGGGCTCCCAGAAAAAGTCCAACAACGGGAAAAAGGGCACGCTTATTCTTCCAGAGACATTGAAAAACATGAAATAGGGAGAACAAGGAGTGTTTTGGTTTTGGTTTAGTATCAAGCAAGCTCGGCTAGGGAAGCCCTATTGCAAGTTTCGAAGCTTCTATGTGACACGGCTTCGAAAGGGAAGGTTCAGGTTGGGGTTGTAGGTCTGTCTTGTCTTGGGCTGCTTGGCTTGTCTAGCCTAAGCCCGGTCCTATGCAAACCTACGGTGCCGGTTCACACAAATTCGAGGCTTGTGCAGGAGTTGAGAAGCCCTTACTAACAGACTAACAACACCAATACCAGTCTAGGGCTTCCTTATTGTAATTATTGCCGGTTATACCCGAGGACCCTATCCTGCTGTTTCTATTGAGCTTTTGCGTTGTAGTCTCTGTGGCGATCCTGTATTCCATGCATACACGCGTCATCGTGCCAGGGGCCAGACGCAGAGTTTCCATTACAAGGCTCATGTGGTACAAGAACTTGTCTATGAGTTGAGGCACCCGGAAACCCAGTACTCAAGCCTTTTGCAATACTTAATCCCCAAATCCCACGCCCAACATGGTGCCTGTGGTTCATTACGTTGGCAGCGAGGCCTCGGGGGCTTCAGGGTAAAGAGCTGAGTTTACAAACATAGAAGCCTAAACGAGTACCAACATACTGCACTGGGCTCATTAATGATCTTTCCATGGTCTACACTCACCTAAACACCTGCTCTAATTCATGGGTACTAGGAGAACTGGTGGGAGATTGCGGAGTTCAAAGAAACTCCCTTCGACCTGGTTGTTCCTCCGGCTGCAGCTGCTCCTTCTGTTGCGGATTAGACTTTCAGTTTAGTGTTCCCGAATCTGGGGCCTCTTGGCTTTGGGGTTGTAAAGCTTTTGGGGTTGTAGGGTTTAGGGTGTTCGGTTTCGAGTTTGGTGTCAAGGGTGCGAGCATGTGAGCAGGCGAATGTCATGATACATTCCCTCATAGTCCTTCTTTACCCTTCAACCTTAGCAACCTCTGAGTAACAAGGTAGATCTCTACGGCACCCACGAACCGTGGAAGCATGCCAGCAGCTCTGGCACTGTCACCTTCGCTGCAATCAGAGGGTTCGGGGGCTTGTTTAACGGTACTTACTAGTGTAGTAACTGTATGAGATGTTCTTTACGAGATATGCATGATGATGATATCTCGTGATTCATGTCTGAAGCGTTTCGAGACCTACGTTCTACTGTCTTCTGACTGTACAAGTACACATCGTGACGTGGTTTGCTGCTGCTCTCTCACAACATTGTCGAGCGGGTCGAGAGGTACACCGGTGGTTCTTGCACCGGACTTGCCTGAGAGAGCAACGATGGTGAGAGTAAGAGCAAAAAGATAAATTATCCCACCCTAAAGCCCGGACCGAACTCGATCATTTCAGAGCGGCTCCCTCTTTGAAAGGGTAGTAGGCACCAGCTCTGAAGCGCTAGAACTACGCTAGAACCTCTAACTTCTGCAGCACCTGATAACGTCTCACAGCCTCATAAGACGTAAGAAAGCCTTGTGCATGTCAATCAACCACAAAAGTCGGTCCTGAAACTGCGAAAGACCCAGCTAGGTGAAGTCTGGACGCCTTGGTGGTCGCTACGTGACGACCGTTGGTGATACGCCGCCACCCGTCTTCTCCCTCAGAGCTAAACCCTGAACTCAGGGATAAGATGCAGTTTTTGTTCTTGGAGTTCGACGTGGATTTCGTTGATACAACTCGGAATCTTATGGGGTTTACGGCTCAAGGGGCTGGCATGAGGTGTACTTGCTCAAAGATATCCTCGCAATGCGGAGCCATTCGGTTCTGAGTTGTCAAAGGAGCTCGTCTGTCCTTAACTCACAAGTTTCATTTTGGAATAAGGCTGGGTGGCATATTGTACCATAATCAGAAAAATGGAACCCAAGCGACAGTGCCTGCATTTATTCAGGCTTCGAACCTCAACAACCGTGTCCGAACAAGGAAATTCGAAGGGCCATATTTTGGGACTTAGCACGATTGTTGTTGGGCGGCAGGCGTGCAAGAGCGTTGCCTATTGAAAAACGGAACTAGAACGGCTTTGAGGCTTCTGCTTGAGTTTTATGGTTGAGTGTGTGCGCCGCGGCCTTGCATAAGGCTGCGTAGGTGGAAGTTGCGGTTGTAGTGCCTGCACGAGGTACATGGTCTTTCGCCATTGGTGGCACATCTTCAAGCTCATGCAACTTGCGACAGCATCTGTTTCCGGGGCGTTCAGCCGGATAGCATTGTTCGCATATGTCACAGAACAGGTGGAACCTGCGAATCGAAAGCCTCGCCCGAACCTGCACCCTGAACCCTACAAGCCCAAACCTAAACCCATGACCCTACGCGCCTAGACGCCTCGCAAAATACCAACTTACATACCTTTAAACCCTACAAGCCCCAAAGACTGTCAAACCAACACAAGCAACAAACTGAGCGCAGAACTGAGGCTCGATGAACGATCTTGTCAACAGCTGGAGCCGCAACAGTCAATGAAATAAAGTATATATCTGCTCTACTGCTAGGTGCGATAACGCCAACGCAAAATGACAAAGGCAAGAACAGCCCTCCACACCTTCAAACAGCAGTCTAATCACACCCTGAAAATCTGAAATTCCCAAAGCCACTCTGCAAAGTTATAGAAGCCCTCGAGGTACGACATGACGGCTAGAGGAATCTGGACGCGCCTCTGGAGTGGAAACCCCCGGTGGATTTACCACCTCGGCCTAGCGGCTCGGACGGGAGCAAGGCTTCTTTGAAGGGTTTATATGGTCTCCTTAGGAATTATGTGTATTATGCTTCTAAGGAGGGATGTTTAGAGTACGGGGTTTTCATGAGGGCTAGAGTGAATAATTCATAATTAGACTAGCTTCCGTTTACGGATGCTTTACCGGGTTCTACAAGAGTTGCTGTAACAGCTACTAGAAGGGTTCTGTGAATTTTGGGTCGTAGGTTTTAGAATATGGGTTTCGAGTGGTGATAGTACTTGTAACGGACTTTGGAGGAATATCATGAATATTCAGACTTGTATTGCTCATTAGTGCTTGGGTTTGAGATCATAGTATCTTCAGGCTGGGGTTGAGGAGAGTCTTTGACTAATTCTCAAACTGTTTGGACCTGTCGGGTTAAGATTTAGTTTATGGTTTTTGCGGCGAGTGAGGCTTCAGGAGTTTGGGATACAGGTTGAGAAACATGCAGCTAAACACCGTCAGTTTCAAAGGTAAGAAAATTTGTTCGACATTTTTGGCACATGGGTAGAAATCCATTTGTCATTTTCACATGCAGGTGTCAAGTGAAGGGTGCATTGCAGGCTTTTTGTAGTTTTGCGAAGAAATTTGGGGGCTAGTGGTATTGCTTTCTGTTGGTTTCATGTCGCAGGCTTAAACTTTCAACCTGCAAGAAAATGCGCTCTAGGCACTCATCTAAGCCTCGTGTTCTTTAGAGTTTAGGGTTTAGCGTCAACAACCGTCGGAAGCTGAAAAGACAGATACCGAGGAGCCGACAGACCTGCCGCGGCTGCTTCAGCGAGCCGAGGCAGGCGAGCTCCGGGCAGTGCCTGGGACGTGTAAGTGTTTGAGGCTTAAGGCTTGGAGCTTAGGGTAAACTATGTGCACAAATATCCCTAGACACAAACACTCATACATACACATCCTTGCATATTTCTTTTGATGGGCATCTCCATGTCTAGTTGTGTCCTCATGTATGTTTCTATCAACTTCGATGTACATACATGTAGAAATAGATGTTGGCCGTGGTTGTTCGAGCTCGAGCCTCCCAGTCCCAAGGGAACCTGAGGAACGCAGCAAGGGTTTCAACGTCATCTTCCCCGCCCCTGAAGCCCTAAACCCTCAGCCTGAAGCACGAAAACTTAGACTCTAAACCCTGAACCTCAAAACCCCAAACCTGAAATCCTAACTAAATCTTCAACCCTTGTCTACTGAGGTGATTGACTCGACTCACGAATTCGACTTGGCAGGTCTGCATGAAGCGCCTCGGCAGCGGCTTTATGTGTGAATATTGGGTTTTGCATAGGAAAGGAAGGAAAGCTGTTTTCTGATGGCTGTAATCACTATATATATATATATATATATATATATTCCAGTTGTTTGGTCTTGCACTTCCGGTTGTGGTAGTTTCGGGATTTGAGTTTCATTCTTGGCGTTGAACTACTATTGTGGCCGTCATAGCTTCAGTGTCTACTTTCAGCAGCCCCCCAGCATAGGCGGATATTGGTGATTACCCATTTCTTTTCCTCAAGCCTTTTTGCTACTTTGCGAAAGCCTCTACTCTGACCATTTCGGCCTTTGTCGCACTTGAACTCTGGAAGCTCTTTCTGTTGCCGTCGAAATGGTCCACTCCTTTTCTTCGTTTAAGCTGTGTGACCGCTAGACACGCATGTCCAAAGTAGTTTCCGAAAAAAATCGCAGCACAGCCACAATCATCAAGCACCAGGCGTTCCGTCGCCAGAAGAGCCGCAAAGCCCACGGCAAGGTGGTGATCGTCGCGACTGGGCGGATAGCTCGTTGTTTCGGAGTTCCGGATGCAGTTCTAGAGCTGTGCACTCTTTCTAATCTGCGGTGCCAATCCGAAGCAGATTTTCCGGTGATCTCGGAATTCAAGGGGCGGCAGGGGCTTCGTCTCTCGGAGTCTCGCGACATGGCTTCACATGACCCCAAGCTCTGCGTAGAAGGCCTGGGCCCTTTCGGCGTGCAAGGCTGGATAGCAGACTCGAGGTCGCGTGCCGGTCGGAAACCGTGGTTCCGCATGGGGTGGTGAACGCATTGCAGCAGTGGTAATGTCATCCTCCGAAGGCCTGACGGACCCAATTTTTCCCAGCTTAACTCTTCCCTAAACCCTAAACCCTTGACAGCTGCAGCTCGAAAGTCAAGACTGGACCCTGTATGTCGTTTTCGTGCGGAGCGGCCTCGTCCCCTTTCAAGCCTGGCTTTCTGAAGTTCGCGAGCCCAAGACCCCGTGATGAAGGAATGTAGCCGAATCGGAATATGAAACCCCGTGCAGTTTGGGTATACCCCTTGAACCTAATCTTGACGCCAAGGTTTCCAAGGACTAGCGACAAGTGACATCTGAAGCAAAAGAGCGCCGCCTGCAGGGTTTCGGTCTAGAAAAACCCTAGACCAGCCTGGATCCCCGAACCCTAAACTCCTAAACCCTCCAGCCCAAATCCCCGAAGCGTTGGGTTTCGGGTTGAGGGTTCAGGCTTTTGGTGCGTTTATGCACTCGAGGCGATATGTTTTTTCAGAAGGTACAACCTAAGCACCCTTACCGAAGCGACCTCACTGTTAAGAGTTGGTATGGTTCTGATTACGAGCTGTCATAGGCCCTCTGGTATCAATGTCCAGGACCGTTTCAAGTTTACGGTGCAGAACTCATGGTTTAGGATCTAAAACCTATGAGCTTTAAGCCCTCAACCCGGCAAGCCCTAAACCCTGAAACCCCCGAGCCCCGAAGCCCCAAACTTTGGGCTCGGATCTTGGGGGGCAGGGTTCGGGTTTACGGACCCCGCGGGTGCATTATAGAGGTCGGAATAGATGAGTGATAGAAGCCCGTTATAGGCCCTGATGTATATTGCACCATACTTTTAGTATCTCCTTGTATTGCCGAATATAAATGTAGCGAAACGTAATTTACCCCAAACCCTATATCATCTGATGGTTCAGATCCTTGCATCATAGAACCCTTATAGAAACCTTTGACAGGAACCCTTGAAGGAGCGATGCTGATTATCAACACCCCTATATCATAGAACCCTGATAGTAAGTCCTTATAGGAAACCTATTCTAATACTTTTTAAGACCCATATTCTAAGGCGGTGTAGGGCTTAGGGGCGGAGGTTTGTGTAGTTACAGGGTCCTATCAGGGTTATTCTAAGATTTCTATGCATATGGGTTCTATGATATAAGGGCCTCAATAATTAGGAGATGTTGGTGGGCGGAGGGGGGGGGGCGGTGTATTTTCTGCTGCAAAAATCGTCGGGACCACAAGGACATACCATCACTGTTTCAGGCCCCTTATCTTGCGGGATTTTCTCTCAAGAGCCATTCTGGTACATTTGCTTCAAAGCGATAAGCTGGTCTTCCTCCACGACCCTTGAGACAATGTTCTCGCACAGCCGAAAACCCTTAGTTACGGGCTATACCATGCTCGCCATAAATCACATTGTCAAGCCCTCACAATGACAATATTTTACGGGCCGGTATTGGGCTCTCTGGGCTGCAAAGAGTTTCTTGCCGCCCGGCTCTTCAATTCAGGATACTGGGGTGATTGATGACTGACTGAGCGTTTAAGCGTTGAGGCTTCGAGTCTGTCGGCGTCTTGGGCTGAGGGTGTAGAGATTTTCAGGATTTAATAGGCTTCGGATCTGTAGAGTTTAGCTCTCCAAGACCTTATGGGAATGAATGTATACGGTTCCAGTTTAGGAGTCTTGCAAAGCTCGTGGTATGAGCCTGCGCCAGGTCCCGTTCGGGAGAACCCAGAAACAAGGCAGTGTGAGACGCTGCGGATACCCTTGGGCAGGCGGCTTCGGGGGGTTGTTTAGGCCTCAGAGGCCTCAGAGGACGCCGAAGTACCGACTTACAGTAATCCTTGGAGTAACCCCTACAGCAACCCTTGTAGATCCCTTTTGCAAGAACACTCAAAGGAACCCCCACAGCCTTGAGCCGCTTTCCTTTCTCAGAGACGTTGCTTCCCGTTCTGCCAAGGGTAGCGCCCCATACCTTCCCAGACCCCCGGAAATTAGAGCCCCTGCTTGACCTTCCTTTCAACGAAGGGTAGTATATAGGAAACCAGCTAGGGCATCAACTTTCTAGATCCTTGACGGGATCTCGGTTGTTCAACCTCGCTTTGGGTTAGGGGGGGTTTAGGGAATTGATTGGGTTTACAGCGTTGGGGCTATGAGTTTTGGATTTAGGGTCTCAGGTTCAGGGAGTTCTAGTTGGGGAAGTTTAGACACATACGGCACGTTACCCTCAAGAACCTTGCGCCTCAATGCCCCAGCCCTCAGCTGCAATACCCCAAGGCCGGCCGTTTGCAGCGTGATCTCATCCGGCATACCTAAAACCTATCAAGTATCAAGCCGCTACAGCATAGCAGCTTTATAGAACTCTTGTTCAATCGCTTCAAGCCCTTCTGCAAGTACATTCACTCTTCGCCGTAAAACCTTCTATTCGATCGCAGAGGTGCCTGCCCCACATCCAGACGTTGCCCTGTGAACCCCCGGTGCCTGGGAAGAAACTTCTGGCAAGTCGCTGGTCCGGGCCCCGAAAGCGCCGTTATGTTGGGTAAGGGTTCAGCCTGTAAGGCTTATAGGGCCGTTGAGAGGCTTCGATTTAGGATAAGGTTGAGGATCCCCGAATCCAGGGTTTCTGGGCTCCAATTGGTTGTAAGGTGGAAGAGAATATGGGGATGCATGTGGAGGAAGATGGCTACGGAGGCTTAGGTATATGCGGTCGGTCGTCCAAGCCGTTTATGCGAGCACCGTTCTCGTGCGTCTCATGTTTACTCGGTGCTGTAACACAAGAGTCACGACCGGTTTGGGGTTTAGTTTTTCAGGGTTAGTTTAGGGCCTTTAGTATAGGGTTTAGGGAGGTGGCCGCGATCACCAATATCATCAGCCACTTCGCTGTCAGCGTGGTCGTGGTGCTGTGGTTGTTGATGCTGTTGTTGCCGTTTCTTTTGCTGCCGCTGCCGCTGCTGCTGCCTCGTGATGCCCGGGGTTTGTGTTTGTGGCTGAAACGACCATGATCTTTGCCTGCCGGTTGCAATTGCTATTGAGCTGTTATTGTCGTTGTATCGGAGATATCAGTGAAAGCTCTAACCAGAACCGGGATTTTCAGGTTCATCGCCGTCGACACTCTGAGAATCATCGCGAACTCCTACCAGCAGGAGTGTGGAGGTGCTCTAATCCCCAAAATCCGAGCTAGAAGCCCCAAACCCTAAAGCGACAGGGTTTGTTAAGGTTTCTGTGGGGTTCGTTGTTTTTTGCTCCGTTTCCATCTTGAGCTTGCGAGGTGTGATTGAGCTTCAAACAAGGCTTGAGGCTAGGAGCTCTAAGCCTCAGCACCCGAAAGCCGAAAAGCCCTAGGTAACAGGGTGCCATAGCTACTTCAGGGATTGGTCTAGGTGTAGTGGAGGGTTACTAGAGAGTTATCATAGGGGGGGGCGCGAAACCCAAGATATCCCAAGATGGTTTATGGCCTCAAGGTTTGGGCCGGTTTGGAGAGCTTTGTTTCGGACGTTTTCAGCTGTTAGCTTTCACACCCTCAGGCTTTGGCCTGCTATGGCCGAAGTCATGGCAACAAATGCTTTCCAGGCTTGGACGATCCAGCCAAGCCCCCCACTAAATGGGTCGAAGGCTCAGGGAAGTGTGGAAGAGGGAGGGAAGGGGAAAAGGTGTTGGCAAGCAGTCAGATGGCTCTTGTGAAATGGTTTTGTTTGAGATACTTCGAAGATCATTGTTGTGAGCTGAAGGGTTGAGTGGCATGAGGTCGTCGGTGCAGGGTCTGGTTCGGGGCAAACGGCTTGTTGATGATGGACCTGCCCTGTGCTTCTTCCTGCTTGGCATTTTGCCGCCGAGGTCATCATCCTAGTGGACCAGACCAGTGCCAAGGCATCCATCTGAGGGAAAGCCCCAGAATTAACAAACCAAGAGTTTTGGGGCTTGGAGCACATGCCTCTACTACAAATTACAACAACAGAAGCAGCAGCAGCAGCAGCAGCCGCAGCCACAGCCACAGCGACAACGACAACAGCAACAACCACAAGTACTACTACTCCTGCTGCTGCTACTACTACTACTACTACTACTACGACTACTACTACTACTACTACTACTACTACTACTACTACTACTACTACTACTACTACTACTACTACTACTACTACTACTACTACTACTACTACTACTACTACTACTACTACTACTACTACTACTACTACTACTACTACTGCTACTGCTACTGCTACTGCTACTGCTACTGCTACTGCTACTGCTACTGCTACGACGACGACTACTACTACTACTACTACTACTACTAGTGTTACTGCCACTGTGACTGCCACTGCCACTGCTACTGCCGCTACCACTGCTACCGCTACTCCTCCTACTACTACAACGACGACGAGTACTGCCACTGCACTGATAGTATTGTTACCATTAACATCTACATATCTGTTTCGATTTCCACTCGTGCCACTGTGGCTACTAGTGGTATTGGGACTGTTGCAATTACTGTTGCACTTACTATAGAACCACTTTACTACTCGAGCTATTTCTATTACTGACGACATGGCTGTCACTGGTACTGATACTATTGCATGAACTACTAATTATCTTTGCTTTTCTGTTTATGACGAGCTGCGACTATACGATTATTAGAAAATTTGCGACAGGGCTCTTCGGGCACCGAGACGCGCAGCATCGATGATCTGCTCGACTACATCGAAGCCAAGGAAACAACCGACAATCCAAATCCTCTTGCGGATGGTTTTCGGGTACGGCGTTTAGGAATTAGGGCTCTAGGGTATAAGTATGGGCTCTATAAGTTTTGGTGCGGGCCTTGCCTTGGATTTATGAGTTCGGGTTGAAGAGGTCTCGGCGAAGAGTAGGATCCCTTCGTCTTAGTTAGCACAGGAGGGTTATTGATGTAAGGTAGGGCTTTGAGTTTAGGGTGTGGATGTGCTGTTTCGGGTGGAGGCTGCTGGGATCATTGGAGTTTGAGTATTTTTGCTGGACTTTCCTGCGGCTCCTGCCTTCGAGCTCTGACTTACGCTGGAGTCACTGTGTCCAAGACAGTGTGAGAGTTCAGAGTTCAGAATCACATGTCAAGCACCAGCACCTCCCAAACCCCAAGCCCAAAGCCCTGAACCTGCCAGACTCCTAGTCTGAAGTCCCTAAACCCGAAACCCTAAGCAGAAGCCCTGTGCATGAGGACCCCGTTCGAAGCAAGAAGCTTCGGAAGAAGCCCGCGCCGAAGGCCTTGAGCTGAGATTCCTTGAAGGATTCGTCTAACACAGCTAAGGGTTACAAACAAAACAGGGCTGCTATAAGGGCTGGTATCAGGGTACTAGGAGGAACAGGATTCAGAAGTCCAGCTCCAGACGCTCATGACTCATGACGCTGGACCTGAGCGCGAGAAGCCCGCAAGATAAGGGACGCTAAAGAGCATTATCACAGCAGTCAGTAGCTGAAGCGGCACCAGCCGTAGTAGTAACTTAGTAGTAACAGACAATCTAACCCCGTCCTGTCAAGAAGCCAGCCTGGAACCCCCGTGTCCGGCAGGGACTCACAGAAGCCTGGTCAAACCCCTGGGAAAGAACCCTAAGCCCTGCGAAGCATGCTAAAGGCTGCACATGACTCAGCCACAGATCCAAACCCTGCGCCAGTGTGCTGTTCAACCTACCGGCCCGAAAGATCTCCAACAATGCGAGCACTACAAGTTGCCTGTCAGATGTATGAGCCGCTTAAAGCCTCCTAATCCCTGGTGAAACCCAGTGTAAATCACCTAGGACCTAGCACTCCACGCGTTCACCGCAAACTGTCAATCAGCCTTGATACCCGAAACCTACTCTCTGCATCGCCCCTAAGACCTAAACATTCGAAACCCGAAATTCCAACCCTTGCTCCATCAAATCCCCCCCAACAAACCAAAGCCCATGCGAACGGTGAAGCCGAAACCTGGAAATCTCAACCATTAAACCTACGTCGCACATCCCGAAGAGTAAGGCTCTAGTCCTAGACCCGGACTCATACACGCGAAAGTCCACACGTGACATTCAAATTTACTATCGGAGTCGGAATGCTTACTTCGTAATAATGTCATTCTCTTATGATACCTGTGTGAGTATATAGTTGTCGTTGGTAATATCTTCCTGCAGTGCCCATTCTGATTATGAAGGCACCTATGATAGCCTAAACCCTAAACTAGTTCAGAAAAGGCCCGCTGCATTTAACAAAAAACCCTAAACTAGTTCTTCATTGTCAGGCCCAGGCCGACCCATCTCAGCTGGGCCCCAGCACGGCGCGGCCCTCTTCGGAGAGGGCGCCTCCCCGCTCGCTTCGGGGGCTTTGCTTGGGGAGTATATGTAAGTTCACAACTAGGAAAAACCCAAGTGTTGCTGTCGAGTTGCCTTTCATGTATATGTCGTTTTTGTTTTGCTACCTTTTTGGTTTCAGAGAGTCTTTGGGGTGTCTTGTGGTCTACATTCTACACCTCAGCCATTAGGCTGCAGCTTCACGGCTGGGGTGCTCTGGAACCTGAAACCTTGCAGCCCGATGGGCCTTGGGGGTACCTGAAGGATCGGAGGACTCAGTGCTGAGTAGGGGTTCTGGGGTTCAGATGTTGGGTGTAGGGTCTGCTTCGGGGACCAGGGACTCCAGAAGGGTGTCAGTAGGGAGAAATCCAGGATAACTTTGTAGAGGACACGGCCTACAACCAGAGTAGGTAATGGTCTAGATCTAGATACATACATACTTGTGTTGGTTTTGAAACAGGGTAAGTGGGACTAGCTGGGATTGCTGGTTTCCTGTATACTCTGGGGTTTGTCGCCGAAAGTATGAGATTTGTGTGTGTATGTGTGTGTGCCTCGATGCTGACCTGAGAGACTTCGTTGGGAACATGCGCTGTTACCAAGAGAATACGGACCGCCGATATCGTCATCTTGAAAAAAGGGCACCAGTTCCGATGGGCCCTTTCAGGCTCCGGGATGGCATCGGAGGGAGCACCCGAGAAACCATCACGTGCGTAGTCCTTTATTTGGGAGTTTCCGAAAATGGGGGACCCTAATATAGTACACTAAATAGTAGGATTCTTATTATAAGGACCCCAAAATAAGGTACCCCTAATTTTCGGAAACTCCCATTAATCCCCAAGCCGATCAGTCCTACAAGCCGAAGACAGTGTGATCCCCAAAACAGCACAACCGTTCTAGGGCCAGATCCGCACAGAATCATGCAGAGAGCCTATAATACCAGCTCTCAAGGAATATACCTGCAATCATGATATTGATCCTCGTCTATATTTAGATATTTTCCTTGACTAGTGGCTTGTAAAATGCCCTTGAAGAACTTGTTGAAAGTCTTTTCAGGCCTTTGGATACCCTCAAGCGTAAACTCCAGACCCAAAAAGCCCTAAACCATATAAACCTCATAAGCCCTAAGCCCCCTATAGCCCATAGTCAGGTCACATCGTCGGCGGCCGCCGCGGCCGCAGCCGCTGCAGCTGCGGTTTCTGGGGATCCAGCGTTGCAGGTGAAGGCACAGCTCTGGACTGGAGGTTTCCTGGGATTGTGGGATATTGTGGGTTTAGGGGGTTTGGATGGTTTCGGAATTTAGTGTTCAGGGTTTAGGGGTTTAAGACTTGAGGTAGGGAGATTTTTGGATTTAGAGTGTGGGTGTGTTTTGGAGTGTACGTTTAGGATCCAAGGGAAGCGGGTTGACAGGGGCCTACGGGTTTGCGGATGGCAGGATGCGGCATGCCTGGTGGTACCTTGATTGATTGACCACAGGTGCTTCACCCACTCTTTCTCATCCCATCCTGTTTGTTTTTCCTTGTCACCAGTGTTAGCGACTGACAGCACGAAAGATTGCTACTCCCATTCTTAGTCTTGGCTTCATTCCAGTTTGTTCAGGCTTTCATCGCGACACATGGATGTTTGCGTGCTGCTCTCCGTTGGAAGACCTGGCAGTGCTATACAGTAGTTTAAGCTGGTTATAGCATGTTGTGCCCTCAGTCTCAACACCTTGCTGTACTTACTCGGGATGCCACCGAGCACGGTAAACCTTGTTCTAGCGATTCCGGCCGTTGTCAAACCCTCTCAGCACAGCCCATGCAACAGAAACCACTGTCACGATAGATGTATCTACACGGACATACATACACACGCGTGTATTATTCTTTGTTTAGTCGCGGGGCATTGCTCGGGAAAGCACTAGGTTCGAGAGTGTGGATTTGTTCAGTTATTTTGTGAAAACTGGGGGCATAGCTTTCAAGGCTTAGGGTTTGAGGATTTAGGGCTTGAGATTTTCGGGGTTGAGCTTCAGGCATATGGTTCTAGGCATTATATGAAATTTGGTCCAGGCTCCCTTTGCCGGTATCTTGACAGAAAGGAAACTGGAACCTTAGTTGCGGGCCTTTCCAGAGATTTGAAGACAAGGAGGGATTTCAGTGCAGGCCCACTAGCTGGTAGAGGAGCAAGCCCTAAGCCTTTAACCCCCTGCCATATCAGTTCGCACAAGGCTGCTGCGGAGCTTTTAGCTCTTGCAGCAAAGCAAAGCAACTCCCCACGCAAGGCCGCATCGTTTTGCGTCGGTCCAGGTTGAGGCTTTTGTGTTCTTGACTTAGGAGACTTTTTGAGAGGATGGCAGAACTCTGTCTTAGGAGACTTGGGATTTCGGGGGTATGGGCTTGTTGACAGCGAGTAACCTCGCTAGCCTATGGCCTATACATTCTGAAGTCCACGAGCCGAGTTTTCTCCTCGCAGCTGCGCTAGTTTCGGGGGGCAGATGTCTGTGTTATAATATGGTACCCTCTATAGTAGGATCCTTATTATGAGGGCCCCCGAATAAGGTACCCTAATTTTCGGAAACTATGCATGTCAAGATCACTATCATGTCTGATTCTTCTCGGCACGCTTCTTTTTCGCCACTGTCATCAGACAGAGTTTTGGTATGTCGGGTAAAGCACGCGCAATAATGGTCGACTTGCGGATTCGCATGCTGCCCTGGAGCCGGTTAGACACCCAGAACCCTAAAGCCAAAAAATCTTAAGCCCTAAAACCCTAAAGCCTAAAAATCTTAAACCCTACTGAAACCCTAAAGCCTAAAAATCTTAACCCCTAAACCCTAAACCCTAATTCCTCAGCGCTCTTCGGCAGTTTGCTGCCGCGCTGGCAGCCGCAGAGCTGGCAGCCGACTTGCTCGGTCCTTGGAAGCTTCGACGTAGAGGGCTCCCATAGGATTATACATATATATATATATATAAAATAATAACAATAATTAATGTATTATTATTGATATCACAATATATATATATATATATATAGTGATATCAATAATTATACCGTAGAGGGCTCCCATAGGCTTTCTTTCAGTGGTTCTGCGATTTTTTTTTCTGTGTGTGTGTGTGTGTGTGTGTGTGTGGAGGGCTTGGTGGAGTTCATTGGGGCGTTGGGTTCTGTTGTTCGTAGCTGGGTGGGCCGGAGGGTTTCTTAGACGCCGAAACAAGAAGGCGAACGATGTTGGTAAGCTCTCGTCCTGAGACGAGGATCTTCAAAGTCTACAGGCAAGAAATGTTTCGAAGTGCAGTTCCAAAGTGAATTCGGGAGAAGGATGGATGCTAGAAGGTTTTCGGAAGGAGTTTCTCCAGCGACGATCGCCCAAAGTAGAAGACCTCGAACTACTGCGACCAGTCTGAAGCGTCCCAACCTCGATGTAAGCTTTGTAAATCGCATCCACCTGCATCTACCATTCGAGGTGATGTATTTTGAAGCATTTTCAGGAAAAGGAAACAATCCGGAATTTAGGAACAGTTTCTATATTCTTTCATCCCCGAGCCCGAAACAACTCCCAGCAGCCAAGATGTTTTGGACAGCCCTTTGCAATGTACAATGTACGTACCGCAGTATCCAACTGCACAGACTCGGATCCCGGCTCTTCAGGCCCCAAGTGGGGGGTTTCCGAAAATTTGGGGTGTTACCGTATTTTGGGGTCCTTATAATAGGGATCCTGCTAGGTAGGGTACTATATTACTCCCAAATCCGAAACTTAAGACACCGGGCCCTGAGAACCTACACCCGAAACCCCAAACCCTAAACCCTAAAACCTACACCCGAAACCCTAAACCCCAGCTCAGGAGTCGTAAACCTTCTCATCCATCACCATAAACGCTGAACCCCAAAGCATCTATCGTTCTCCTACTTAAAGGCCTTTGAGCACATTTTTTGTGATTTGCGGGTCTGTAATTCGAAATCCCTGAGGCCCCCGCCGTTGGGTTGCATGACTTGGGCTATCGTTTCAGGGTGCTGGGTCTGGA